CTGCTGTAGACTGAATGGTGGAGCTAAACTGCTGTAGACTGAATGATGGGGCTAAACTGCTGTAGCTGAATGGTGGAGCTAAATTGCTGTAGACTGAATGGTGGAGCTAAACTGCTGTAGACTGAATGGTGGAGCTAAATTGCTGTAGCTGAATGGTGGGGCTAAACTGCTGTAGCTGAATGGTGGAGCTAAACTGCTGTAGCTGAATGGTGGAGCTAAACTGCTGTAGCTGAATGGTGGAGCTAAACTGCTGTAGACTGAATAGTGGAGCTAAACTGCTGTAGGTGAATGGTGAAGCTAAACTGCTGTAGACTGAATGGTGGAGCTAAACTGCTGTAGACTGAATGATGGGGCTAAACTGCTGTAGCTGAATGGTGGAGCTAAACTGCTGTAGACTGAATGGTGGAGCTAAACTGCTGTAGACTGAATGGTGGAGCTAAACTGCTGTAGACTGAATGGTGGGGCTAAACTGCTGTAGCTGAATGGTGGAGCTAAACTGCTGTAGACTGAATGGTGGAGCTAAACTGCTGTAGACTGAATGGTGGAGCTAAACTGCTGTAGCTGAATGGGTGGAGCTAAACTGCTGTAGCTGAATGGTGGGGCTAAACTGCTGCAGGCTGAGTGGGCGGGGCTAAACTGCTGCAGGCTGGGTGGGCGGGGCTAAACTGCTGCAGGCTGGGTGGGCGGGGCTAAACTGCTGTAGACTGAATGGGTGGGGCTAAACTGCTGTAGCGAATGGACGGGGCTAAACTGCTGCAGGGTGAGTGGGCGGGGCTAAACTGCTGTAGGCTGAACGGGCGGGGCTAAACCTGTTCTATTGAGAGCAAACACACTACAAAAAAGTAAAACTCCACAGACAGACACAAGAAGTAGGACTGTCTCCCTGCAGTACCTCTGTTGTCCAGCAGGGGCACTACACTGACCGCTAAGTTATTAGAATGAAGTTTTCTCTGAAAAACAGTGAAAGTCTGTCGTTCCAGTGCTAGAGCGCAAGTGTGAACATGCAGAACGGTCAGTCCCTAGACATTCCGCACAGAATGAGACGCTGCTGGGTATAATATTTTACACACACACACACACACACACACACACCACACACACACACTAACACACACACACACTAACACACACACACTAACACATACTAACACACACGGAGTGTAGGGCTTTAACAGACTACATGTAGTCTGAATTATGTAATCAAAACTCAAGTACATGTAATCTGGATCAGGTAATTAATAATAAAGTACAGGTAATCTATATTACATAATCAAACTCAAGTGCATGTAATCTCTAATATGTAATTAAAACAAAGTACATGTAATCTGGATTATGCAATTCAGTAACAAACTACATGTAATCTAGATTAGGTAATTAAATACTTAAGCACATTTAATCTATATCGCATAATCAAAACTCAAGGCCATGTAATCTGCATTACGTAATTAAAGACAAAGTACGCGTAATCTGGATAAGGTAATTAAATATTTAATACATGTAATCACTATTACATAATCAAAACTCAAGGGCATTTAATCTGGATTAGGCAATTCAATAATAAAGTGCATGTAATCGGGTTTAGGTAGTTAAACAAAATCAAAACTCAAGGCCATGTAATCTGTATTAGGTAATTGAACAATAAAATACATGTAATCTGGATTAGGTGGTTCAATAATAAATTACATGTAATCTATATTACATAATCAAAGTTCAAGGGCATGTAATCTGGGTTTGGTAATTAATAATAAAGTACATGTAATCTGGATTAGGCAGTTACGTAATCGTTTTTAGGCAGCTGAGTCAGCAGCATAGTTCACTACCAGCATAATGAGCTCCATTTATCTCTACTGTAAAACGCTGCTTTCACTGTGAGATGATTTTCTTATCTAACTCTGCGTTTTAAAGATCTCAGACGCTGCAGACTCGATCTCCACCGCCCCTCTGATCACCTTCGTGTGTTAATGTTGATGATGAAATATTACAGTGATGGTGGTGAATAATGAGGAGACGGAGCTGAACGTGTGTCTGTTTATTAGGAGGAGTAACGTTAGCGTGCTCGGCTAAAGCGTTTGGGAAATGGAGACTGAAACTGGGGAGCGGCGACGCTCTGATAAACAGCAGGGGGCGCTCTCACAGTATTCACAACTCACAGTTTATCACACTTTAGTTCTGTTTGACCTTTTTTACATCAGTAACAGCAGCTTAACTCACAATTAACATTATTTTGATTGTGTGTTTACATTTCAGGTGTGTGTGTTTATGGTCGGTTGCTAGGAAACAGTTGATTGTCGACTTCTATCAAATAGGTTAAAATTTTCCTAACTGGAGATAAGATGCTGTAAGACAAGATAAAATTCCTAAATTAAGATCAGATTTACTTCTGTATTATTTATTTGTAAAAAATCTTATCTTAACCTGTCGGATCTTAACTCAGCACAACTCATGACAGAATATGACATGTTTATGGCACGGTTATGTCAATGTTATGTAGCAGATTAAGTGTTACATCTCTTTTAAAGTGTATCACAGCAAAGTTTTCTCACCTTTTTTTTTAAATAAACAAGTTTTATGTAAACACTGTCAAAACACCCACTCTCCAGACCATAAAGTCCATATATGGAAACAGATCTGCACAAAGTTTAGAATTCAAATAATTTACATACATCCGCCTATTCCGCAGTTTAGCCCCACCCACTCACATTGAAGTTATAAGGAGTGTTTCAGCCTGGACTGCTTTTGGAATGAGCCACAGCCATAAATGAGCAGAGCTCATTTACATATATCAGTCTTAAAGTCACAGCAACAAAACAGTCTGTTTACTTCTAAGGGAAAAAGAGAGCTTTGGTAAAATCAATTACGGCTAATTTACGATTGTATGCAAAAGTTTGTGCACCCCTGGTCAAATTCCAAGTTGTTGTTGATTTTCTGAGTGTGAATAAGTGAACATATCCTCCACAGAGACACACTTCTGCACAATTAAATACACAATTACTGTTTGTTTTCTTTTTACTGAATCTAGTAAATTTTTTAAAAATTAAGCATAAAATGTGGCCTGTGCAAAAGTTATGGAATATTTTATATTTTCTGTGTTTCTATGTTTTTTCAGCAAATTAATAAGCATTTAGCACTAAAATGAGCAGAAATATGCCATATTTAAGTCTGTAGAGGATGTGTTAAGTTATTATCACATGGCAATATACGGACCTGGAGGAGAAAAATATCAAATTCAAGAAAAATGTATGTCATTCTAACAGTACGTGGCTACTTTACTTTGCTCAGATTATTTTAAAGTTTCATTCTTGTTTTATAATTATTTTTAGCATTTGCAAGTAAACAATCCTGAAAACTGGGGTCGCTGTGGCCCCCTCGGCCCCCCCACCTTCCCTGCACTTACAATCTCATTACTCCACCCACCTCGAACACTTCCTCGTCCAGTAGGCGTGTCCCAAACACAGTGACCCCTTCAGTGCTGACCTTGGGGTCCTCACCTCTGGGGAGGTCAAGGGTCATGACCTTTCGGCAGTCTAGGTAGAGCGTGACCTTCTTACCCTCCACACTGTACGCCAGCCTGTGCCATCTGTAAGGGGACAGGTCAAAGGGCAGGTTTTATTATTATTATTAATAACAATAATAATAATACTAAGAGGTAATGAGTTTCACCTTTTAGAGGCAACTATTAGCCAACAATCAACAGCCTATTAGCATATTACGGAATACATTCTGTCTCATCTCATCTGCTTTGTTGTTTAAGCAGTAGAACATGTGGAGGTTGTGTGTTATAGTGAATAAGAACACGAGCCGAAGGTGAGTTTAGTACATCATTAGAACCCTGATGTTACTCACCACAACACACGGCCTCCAGTGTTCTACTGCCTTTATACATACTGTAAAAAATTACCGTACAGTTTACAGTCATTTTCTGGAAGCAGAGTTGCCAGTAATATATGACATATTCAGAAATATTTCACAATATTTTACTATTTATTGAATAACATTTACAACTAGAACTGTGCATTTCCTGAAAGAAACGCAGAATGGTTGCGCAGCTTAAATGGTTCCCACTTTGTTTGTTGCTAGGTGGTTACTATGGCATTCCAGGTGGTTGCTAGGGTTTTGCTAGGCAGTTGCTATGGTATCCCACGCAGTTGCTAAATTACTGCCAGGCAGTTGCCATGGTGTATTGGTTGTTTATTTAGTTGTTTGTAGGGAGTTAACAAGTGTGAGCTAAGTGTTGTTGAAAATGAATGGGAGTCTATGTGTGGAATGAGGGATGATAACACGACACACAGAGGAGTGCGGGTCAGTATGGCTGAGGATTAGAGCTTGAGGACCTGCCCTGAATGAATACATGCATTTTGGTGTCTGTTGGGCAAAGAAATATTTGGGCTGCGGTTTGGGTGAAAATGAATGGGAGTCAAACATGCTCGGGGGCCTGCCTTGAGATACTATATGCTTTGCAATGTGCAACTGTAATTATTTACTGTAAATTTACAGTTATTTACTGGAATCTCAGCTGCCAGCAAAATACTGTAATTTGTGTTGTCTGGTATGTTACTGTAAACCAATTCACTGCTCTAAATGTCCAGAATGATCCTGTAAAATTAACTAATTTATTAAAACATCCTATAAAATCCTGTAAAACTAACCAGTACTTTACTATAATATAAATACTGTAAACGTACAGCATTTTTTTACAATGACACATTACAGTAAATAATTTACTCTTAGTCACATTACTTTCAAAGTAACTAACAGTCAAAAAAGAACTAACAGTAGAAATGCACTACCAGATTACTCTGATGTAGCTATTATTCTACTGTGCACTTACAGTGTAAACTGCAATTAAAATACAGAAATATTCTGTAATTTTATAGAAGAACTGTAAAAGTAATGCAGCTCAGTAGCCATTAGTAGTAATTTATTATATACAAAAGATTATCAATTTTCTGACCTAAAAGTTTGTCTTCTTTGAATAAAGATGAATTCATGTAAAAATTAAAAATAATATCAATCAACATATTTATTCACCATTTTCTGGACTGTATATTCACAGAATATCTCAAGTAAGCATGTTTAAATTCAAACACATATTACAGCCAGTTTAACTTTGCTTATCATTTGCACAAACATGACCAAAAGCTGAAAATGTTTTTCATTAAAATGTTTTTTTTAACTCTTGATTTGCTGCTGTCATATCCCATAATGCTGTGCAGTACAGCCCAACATCAACCTCTCTGTAATTTGCTGTATAATAACAGAAATTTTATTAAGATGACTGGATTTTACAGTAAAATGATAAATACGGTGTTTTACCATTAAAAACTAGTGTTGAATATTTGTGTGAAATCATGGCAATTATTAAAAATGCAACACTTCTGCAAAATAGAGGAAAAGTAAATCTATAAAGTTCTGAACATTGCAACAAATGTGGCTTAATATCTGCAAATCCTTCCTTCAGAAAAAGTAGAGCCCTTTGCAGTGCAGAGCCATTAAACTGTGACTATCAGGTTGAGCTCAGCTTTTTCAGTGTTTCCAGATGAAGCTGAATGTTCTTTAGTTCCACTAAGTCTGTAAAGGGTTTCACAGCCCGTCCTGTTCACTGGGTTGTTTTCCATTGGTTTCTGGCTGATTCCAGTTTGTTTAGTCATTCTGAAGTTGATGCAGTTCTGCGGTCACTCTCTTCAGAACCTGACCAGATGGGCTTCAGGGCAAACATTATCCTATAGAAGTTATCTAATGTGTCTATTTTCAGTTTTATGTGCTAAAGTAGGAACTCAGTTGTTGAGAAAACAATGACACACAGTGTCACTGATACGAAGCACCTGCATGTAAAATGAAACTGCATTTAATTTAATAATTAATATAATTATATTGAATCGAATTTGATGAAAAGTTGTTAGAATGTGTAGAGTTCAAGACTAAATTTTGGCAGTCATACAAAATGTAAATCAAATATAAATGTCATTACAAAACTGTAATTCATCATGCAACTATGTCATTACATATAATAAATGATAATGTGTAATGCACAAATTAAAGTGCTCTGGAAAAGGCTTAATTGACCCTAGTTGTTGCTAATAAAGTAGTAATAAGCAGTTAATTAATAGTTATAGGCTTGAAAAAGCTCCATAAGAGCATTAAAAAAGTGAGCTTTGGCCAATAAAAGCACCATATAAATTACATTTCATTTATTTCATCTTTCATAGTATTTTGTCCAACACAGTTTGGGCTGTAACCTCTGTCAGCATTGTTTTCTGGTGAAGCAACAGACAGTTTCTTCCTTTGCTACAATAACAACAATAACAATAACAACATGTTCACTTGGGCCTACAGCAGTGACACATCTGGTATCAGAACCATAACAGGATGTTTTGTTGTTTTTATTGTCTGTAAAGCAGCTTTAAGCTCGTCTCCCGGAAAGAAATCTAAAAAACATGGGGCTGCATGACGAATATGTGGGTCGTTCTCCATCTGCGGTGGGAATTCAGGTGGACACTCAAACAAAAAAATCAATTTAAACAAAAATCAGTTTGTTTCATCCCAAAAACTAAATAATCCTTATATGTCCATTAACATCTCCTTTTATCATAAATGCAGAAAGGAGCTTAATTCAAACATGTTTTACAGTCACTGGTGTTGTATGAATGTGGTGTAACACCAGTGACGGTGACTCCAGTGACATTCTGGGTAAAACTGAGGATTCTGTAAATCGGCTGATTCACTGTTGGTCAGGTGACCTTGTGAACTGTTTAAAATCAGTAATAAAAATGATTTTTGACACTATTTTCGCAAAATTTTAATTACCCAGCCATTAGAGCACATAACACCGGTGACATATAGAAGTTGGAGTCCATCCCAGCTGTCATTGGGCGGAAGGCAGGATACACCCCGGACAGGTCACCAGTCCATCGCAGGGCTGCCCTGCCCTCTTAAAAATATTGTTTTTTATTAAAAATGGTTTCTCAAATGTTGAAAATTGGTTTTGGAGCTGTTTTACAGATGCAGAGCGACTATGAATCAGAATAAAAAGAGAAAAATCAGAGAATCATGAGGGAAAACTGTGTAAACGTACATACCGACCGTTGGAGCTGTGTCTGATATTTTTAAGCGTCTTTTTAAGCCCTGAAACCTTTGTGATGTGGTTTCCCCTCCAAATGGAGACTGACCCATCAGTGTAATTGTTGCTGCTGAATCCATTTTACACATATATAACAGTCAGTTCAGACGGGACAGTCTGACCGGTTGAGAAGCTTCTAGCTTTGTGACGACCTGACATACTCACTTTCCGTCAGCCAGGTTGACCTTCTTAAAGATGGGGTACTGGTCAGGGCTGGGCTGACCGTTCTGATCTTCATACAGAAGGACCGGAGAGCGTCCGAGCTCCAGTCCGAACTGCTGGACTCCATCAGGATTATAAACGGACAGAAGGAAACACTGAGCGCCGCGACGAGGACGAACGGTCACCAGCACCGAGAAATCCACCGGAAACTCAGAGTCTGAAACACAGAAAACACAGAATATAAGCATAATAGGTCACCAAAGGCCTCCGGACTGACCACCTCATACTCTCAGGACACAACACGACTGTGTTCAGGAGATACAGTTTGAGCTTATTTTATAGAATATAGAAGCTTTAAATGAAAAACTGTTTGTGGTCTTAATTTTAGCCTTACAGTTAGTGCTGTGGAACTGCAAACTTGTACAGTTATAACTTTTGAGTTATTGATGCATAAAAATTTCAGAAAATATAGTGAGACATATTTGTTTATGTTTTGTTGCCTGGAAAAAAGTCTATCTTTGGTCCTCTACGTCTCCATACGGAGTCCAGCTGGTGACATCCTGTATAAATAAAAATAATGCGTGGCCACGACTTAGTAAGGCGTGGGAACGAGATCCAAATGCGTGGCCACGACTTAGTAAGGTGTGGGAACGAGATCCAAATGTGTGGCCACAACTTAGTAAGGTGTGGGAACGAGATCCAAATGCGTGGCCACAACTTAGTAAGGTGTGGGAACGGGATCATGCCTTACTAAGTCATTGCCACGCAATAGGATCTCACTCCCACTCCTTACTAAGTTGCTGCCACACTTTCGGATCTTGTTTCCATGGTTAATAAGGCATGGCCACTTATTTATTTGGGACATCACCAGCAGGGCTCCGTATCTCCACACTGAAGAGCATCAAATGTTATTATGTATTACTCATATCACAGCACTGTTGTGGCAGTTAGGTGTTAAGTATGAAAGCAATTACATAGCACCATTTTCAACGCATACTGCTCATAATAATATTACCAATATGTAAAGTATGTATATTCCATATATTATACTTCTGAAACAAACACATAACAGATGTACCAAATGAGAAGGTCGTATCTTCAGCACAGCTATATTTCACCTACATTTTATTTCACAAAATATTTTTGGCACAATACACAACATATTGAGAATTCTGTAATGGCATTGTTTTGGTAGTTAAACCCGTCTTAAACTGAGGAATAATCCCTGAAAATTTCATGCATTTGGTGTCAATAGTTCAGAAGTTATGCCTAATAAATTACTCTGCAAAAGTCAGAGACCCCCATTCATTTATTTTATTTCTAGTCAAAACAGTCTAGTACGAGTTACTCATCTTTCAGGAGATGTTTGTGAGGAGATTAGAAATAAGATAATCCACTTGCCTACAGAAAGAGAAAGTTAGAAAGAAAAAAAAAAAAAGAACTTCCAAAACTGGAGTTCAAAAACTGATTAAAAGCGCCAGCGAAAATGTGGCTCCTAACAACCACCTGGAAGAGCTGTTCGACCCCAAACCTGCCCCCATCAGATAAACAGCACTTAAAGCTTTCATCTCTGAGAGAGAGGAGAAAATCAAGCTGATCAGATCTGAAAACATCCACAGGTGTTTCTGTCCATCCTTCCACTGTGAGAAGACGACTCAGCGCTGTGGGTCTGAAAGGATGTGTAGCTGATCAAGAAGAACCTCACTGAGAAAAGGAGACGGACACATCAAACAAAGAAGCTGAACGATGGACTGACCACCCCAGAGTCCAGACCTCAACACCACTGAATGTGTTTGATTACTTCAGAAAATGATCAACCAGCTTCTAAGACTGAACTTTGGAGGCGTGTCTGCAGATTCTTTGAGGAACTGAAAGTGAGAGACGACAACATATACATATAACTGGCACAACAGATCACTGACGCACATCCACACTCTGCTCTTTCACTTTGGATGAATTTTATGCAAATTAACTGTGGCGACCAATCAGATTGTTGATATGTGGCGCAGTAACCAAGTGTGTCACCCCAACAGCCACATGCTGAGATTTAACACTGGAAAGTTGACTGAGCGGGAGACATAACGGTGGATAAAACATTATTATTACATTGGACTAAAAACAACATTAGACTGCTTTGGGCTTCAGAACTGGCCTCTATCTCTGCACACCTCTCTCTTTGAACCTCAACATGCATGCTTTAGTGACGCGCCCCCAAGGTGGCCAGCTGTGGTGGAGGAAACGCCTGGGCTCGCTTAAACAGTTACTGCAGATTTTGAAAATATATTAAAAAAAATAGAAAAATACAAACCCCTCTCTGAAACAAGCACTCATTAGTCTTTGCTATGCTCAAATTCTTAAAAAGTTCAGATCTTTGTGTTATTATTGTTTTTAGGAGATCCAGTTCTGAAATCAGGGGGATGCTGCAGCCCCCTCAGCACCCCCGCTTCCCTCGTTCCACATGTAATGACAACTGAAAACATATTCATACACATAATTCACACAAAAACACTCACACACACGATGAAGTATCATGAACTGTGTGTGTTAACATACCAGGAAACAGTTGTGTGGTTGGAACGCTGACTTGTATCTTCTTATCGATTTTATAGGCCAGATCCACCTCCTCCAGGCCACGCCTACTCGTACAAAGCCCCGCCTCTAACGACACGCCCTCCATTCTGTCTGATAGGTCTAATATCTTCAACACATCGATGTGATTATCTGTAAAAGGAGGAAGAAGAATGATTAGTTTACAGTATATCAGTGTTTAGAAAGAAACATCCACCCTGTTCTGGCCACTTTAGTAGAAACACCAGCCTTGTGCTTCCACTAACTGGCCACTTTATTAGAAACACCCTACCTTGTGCTTCCACTAACTGGCCACTTTAGTAGAAACACCCACCTTGTGCTTCCACTAACTGGCCACTTTATTAGAAACACCTACCTTGTGCTTCCACTAACTGGCCACTTTATCAGAACCACCTACCTTGAGCTTCCACTCACTGGCCACTTTATTAGAAACACCCACCTTGTGCTTCCACTAACTGGTCACTTTATTAGAAACACCCATGTTGTGCTTCCACTAACTGGTCACTTTATTAGAAACACCCACCTTGAGCTTCCACTAACTGGCCACTTTATTAGAAACACCTACCTTGAGGTTCCACTAACTGGCCACTTTATTAGAAACACCCACCTTGTGCTTCCACTAACTGGCCACTTTATTAGAAACACCCACCTTGTGCTTCCACTCACTGGCCACTTTATTAGAAACACCCGCCTTGTGCTTCCACTCACTGGCCACTTTATTAGAAACACCCTACCTTGTGCTTCCACTCACTGGCCACTTTATTAGAAATAGTGAGTGGAGGAACAAGGATGGTGTTTCTAATAAAGTGGCCACTCAGTGCAAATGCACACACACTCAGATTCACACACAGACTCTACTGTACATGCACACACATGTATACACAGGACTCAGTAACTGAGTGGCTGTTCAAACATACACTACACACTGCCTGACTGTACACAGCAAGAATTTAAAAAATCTGACGTGAAGAGGGAGACGTATGTCCATGTGTGAGTGTGTGAGTTACAACCAGGACCGTACAACACACACACAAACACACACACAGCATCTGAACACACCATCAATTAGGCAGTACGGATAAATACAGATTAACGTGCTCTTTGACGGATGTGACAATACTCTGTCAGGGATAATAGAGTCTGTTAATCTATAACTAGGCAACAGGTCAACAGACAGACACTCAACCTGCACACGAGCAGATACATGTCTATGGATTTAGGCTTTAGGCCACTTCAACAAAGCTTCTGTTCTTTCAGAGATGCTTTTCAGTTGCAACCAGACTGCAGTACAGTTTATAAAGCTATTAATACATTTACAAATGCCACCGGAAAACAGTACAGTTATAAGGCTAATAATACATTCACACATGCAACAGGATACAGTACAGTGTTTACCAATTTGTAAAAAAAAATGCATGAACAAAAAATCCAACTGTTTAGAACAATATTCCTCAATAAGTGTTTGCAAGGATTTTAGATATTTCACCCTCCACAGTGCATAGTATTAATAAAACATTCAGGGAACCTGGAGAAATATCTGTATGTAAAAAACAAGGCCAAAAACAACAAACCAAAATACCTGTGACATTCAACCAGCAATACTTTCACAAGCCAGTGTCAACAAACTTTGTCGCTGCTTCCACAAATGTAAGTTAAGACTGTACCATCAAGACTGTGGACGTCATATGTTAACAGCGTCCAGAAACGCCGCCGACTTCTCTGGGCTCGAGCTTATCTGAAATGGACTGATGCTCAGTGGAAACATGTATTGTGATCTGATGAATCAACCTTTCAGACTGTTTATGGAAATAATGGATGTTGTGTTCCATCCAGATTGTTACCAGTGTAAAGTTCAAAATCCAGCGTCTGTCATGGTGTGGGGGGTGTTAGTGGGTAATCAAGACACCATTAAGTCTAAAACATACATGCAGATATTGGAGCAACATATGCAGCCTTTTAGACACCGTCTTTTTCAGGAACGTCCATGATTATTTCAGTGTAACAACATCGAGAAACATTCTGCATGTGTTACAACAGCATGGCTGCGTAATCAGAGAGTGCAGTGCTAGACTGACCTGCCTGTCTCCTGTTGAAAAGGTGGGGCACATTATGAAGAGCAATTTTCAATTATAAAGTACAGCTAATACTACAAAACGCATTACATTTTCAATTAAACACAGGTCAAACAGAATTTACTAATCACTGCTTTTTGCTTTCTGTGAGCATTTCACACACCGTCCAAACTCTTTTGGAATTGTTGTTTGTAGCTGTGTGAAAGTTCCCTGAAGTAAAGCCAGTCTTAGATCATGTGAGGCAGAAAGAGTGAGGGGTCATAGGGTGCAGAGAGAAAAGCAGGTGTGTTTCAGTTGGAAAAAAAAGAGAGAGGAAGGTAAAGAGAAGGAATATATTAAGAGAGACAGATGGAAAGTGGTGAAACAAGATAGAAGGAGGAAAACTTAGAAATAGAGAGAGTGAGAGAGACAGAGAGAGAGAGAGGGAAAGAGAGAGGGCATGTCTGTTCTTGGCTCTCTCTTCACCTTCTCTTTCTCTGAAGCAATCCATCCATCCAGCTGCCGTCAACTGTCAACATCTGTCAACACACACACACATAAGAGAACACCCGCCTCCACAAACACACACACACCCCCTAATAATACCTCCTCTTGCACACACATGTACGGTACCGTGCAAAAGTATTCACCCCCTTTGGTGTTTTTCCTGTTTTGTTGCATTACAACCTGGAACTGAAGGGGGTGTTTTGTTTAGATTTTATGTAATTAGCGTAACAAAATAGTCCAAATCACTGACGTGGAATTTAAAAAAAAATACTTTGCTTAAAACATATTAATAGGTAAAAATTGAAAAGTTGAGAGTGAATGTATTCACCGCCTTTGCTAGGAAACCCTTAAATAAGATCTGGTCCAACCAATTAACTTCAGAAGTCACATAATTAGTTGATGAAGGTCCAACTGTGTGCAATCAAAGTGTCACATGATCTAATATCTGTCACATGACGTCAGTAAAAATACACCTGTTCTGAAAGGCCCCTGAGTCTCCAACACCACTAAGACAGCAATATGAAGACCAAAAAGCCCTCCAAACAGGTCAGAGACAAAGTTGGGGAGAAGTACAGATCAGGGTTGGGTTATAAAAAAATATTCCAAACATTGAACCTCCCATGCAGAACCATTAAATCCATTATAACAAAATGGAAAGAATATGGCACAACTACAAACCTGACAAGAGAAGGCCACCCACCAAACAGACCGGGCAAGGAGAGCATTAATCAGAGATTCAACAAAGACATTAAAGACAGCACTGAAGGAGCTCCAAAGATCCAAACTGGAGATGGGACTATCTGTCCATAGGACCACTTTAAGCCATACACTCCACAGAGTGGGGCTTTATGGAAGAGCGGCCAGAAAAAATGCCATTGCTTAAATAATAATAAAAAAATACACACATTTGGAGGTGCCAAACAGCAAACAGACGGAAGAAGGTTCTCTGGTCAAATGAGCCTGAAATTGCACTTTTTGATGATCATGCGAAACACTATGTGTGGCGCAAACCCAACACTTCCCATCACCCCTGAGAACACCATTCCCACACTGAAGCATGGTGGTGGCAGCATCATGCTGTGGGGATGCTTTTCATCGGCGGGGACTGCAGAGCTGGTCAGGATTGAAGGAAATCTGGATGGCAGTAATAAAGAAAAATTCTTGAGGAAAACCTCTTTCAGTCTGCCAGAGATTTGAGACTAGGAGGGAGGCTCACCTTCCAGCAGGACAATGACCCTAAATATACAGCTAAAGATACACTGGAGTGGTTTAAAGGGAAATATTTTAATGTCTTGAAATGGCCTAGTCCAAGCCTAGACCTCTGTGGCATGACTGTGGCAAGGATCTGGAGCAGTTTTGCTTTGAAGAATGGGCCAAAATCCCAGTGGATATATGTGCCAAGCTAAGAGAAACATACCCCAAAAGAATTGTAACTGTAAATGTAGCAAAGGTTGGCAATACAAAGTACTGACTTGTTTTGGGGTGAATACTTATGCACACTAGCACACAAGTTTTCTGTTTTTTGTTTTAATTATTGTTTGCATCACCAAAAAATGGTCCAATCCTCTAAAAAATCTATTTTTATTCCAGAATATAATGCAAGAAAACAGAAAAAAATTCTGTCTGAACTGACTGTAGCCCACAAAATTCAGTCTGAACTGACTGCAGCCCACAAAATTCTGTCTGAACTGACTGTAGACCACAAAATTCTCTCTGAACTCGACTGTAGCCCACAAAATTCTGTCTGAACCGACTGTAGCCCACAAAATTCTGTCTGAACCCGACTGTAGCCCACAAAATTCTGTCTGAACCGACTGTAGCCCACAAAATTCTGTCTGAACCGACTGTAGCCCCACAAAATTCTGTCTGAACCCGACTGTAGCCCACAAAATTCTGTCTGAACTCGACTGTAGCCCACAAAATTCTGTCTGAACCGACTGTAGCCCACAAAATTCTGTCTGAACCGACTGTAGCCCACAAAATTCTGTCTGAACTGACTGTAGCCCACAAAATTCTGTCTGAACTGACTGTAGCCCACAAAATTCTGTCTGAACTCGACTGTAGCCCACAAAATTCTGTCTGAACTCGACTGTAGCCCACAAAATTCTGTCTGAACCGACTGTAGCCCACAAAATTCTGTCTGAACCGACTGTAGCCCACAAAATTCTGTCTGAACCGACTGTAGCCCACAAAATTCTGTCTGAACTGACTGTAGCCCACAAAATTCTGTCTGAACTCGACTGTAGCCCACAAAATTCTGTCTGAACTGACTGTAGCCCACAAAATTCTGTCTGAACTCGACTGTAGCCCACAAAATTCTGTCTGAACCGACTGTAGCCCACAAAATTCTGTCTGAACCGACTGTAGCCCACAAAATTCTGTCTGAACCGACTGTAGCCCACAAAATTCTGTCTGAACCGACTGTAGCCCACAAAATTCTGTCTGAACCGACTGTAGCCCCACAAAATTCTGTCTGAACCGACTGTAGCCCACAAAATTCTGTCTGAACCGACTGTAGCCCACAAAATTCTGTCTGAACTGACTGTAGCCCACAAAATTCTGTCTGAACCGACT